GTCGTGCATGCCGTAGTCGTTAGACCATTGACCTCGCATCCCTACAAAGCCGGGACGGAGCACGCCGGGTTATCACCGGACCAGGCTAACAGGGGGGGGCTTGTTTTACAACGTCGTTGCCAAGCGACGAAAGCCTAACCCCGATGGCAATCACCGGGGGGGGGGGGGATGAGGGGGGGCATTTAGAACGTGGGGGTGGTGCATCAGTGGAAGAGTGCATCGAAGGTATATGTCACGTGTATCTCTCGGTCTGAGGATCTCTGGCATTTCAAGCGCCGACGAGAAGGTTCATTCTCCGTCGAGTGTTGATTTGTGATCTGTGATGCTGCTACTACTGCTGCTGGTTGTGGCCTCTTTGTTTTGGCTCCACCGCTATGATTTTAGCATGGCGTACATACAGCTCATCATCGTGTTGTTTTGTTCATTTCAAACACGGGTGTTCGTTGATTGGTCGCGTTATACATCGCGAGCGAGAACTAACACCGCTTGCTGCTTGTTGTCGCGTGTCGTCCGTTTCGTTCACACGATACAAGTCGGGAGTCATTCGTTCATAGACACGTCACTGCCGGGGCGAAACCAGAGGATGAAATGTACCCAACACCAAAAGATGGTTGAAAAACGGAACAAATTCATTCCTACCGGGCACAGTGCCGGGAAGTCAAGTATGTGGCAACGCAGCGATCACGTCGCCACACCTCCGCAAATGTTCTCCCACCAACGACCACAAATCAGGAAAGATTCGCCCCGTTTGTTCGTGCCGATATTTTTAGGCTCCACCGTGGTTCCCTGCACAACACCACGCGCACCGTGTTGGTGCGCGTACGTACGTAGCAGCAAGAAAAATTCCCGACTAGTAAATGTGTTAAATCGGCCTCGGCCAGTTCCTGCTGCCATCTCAACACATTCATTCGCAAGACAAGTCTTTTTCAAAAGCTGCCATCCACCCCAGGGATCACCGCGACACCACCCACGCAAGCCTTAACCACGACATAACCCCACACGCGCGTGCACAAAGACAGCAAGCAACTGGCGCCTCGCTCCACGGAAAATAACGCCATGCCCGAGGCGGGAGAGACGCCGGGCCGACAGGCTCCACACCAGGTATGGTCGGTTGTCCAGGCCCCAAAATCGTTGGCGTTGCTGGGAAGTGGCGGTGCTAAGCGTAAGGAGCCGACCGTCCGGGCATTGATCAGCGACGGTCGCGACGCCCTCCTTGAACAGCAAGTTCATCGACTTGGGACAAAAAAAGCTGCGTACACTTGCGTACATGAACACCTCCTTGCAATACCTGGATAGCAATGTCGCCCTGCCCTACATACAGTGACAGCTAGCCGCTAGGCGCTCCACAACAAGGGCACATAGGATGACCCCCCCTCCCCCCCGTTGGCACTGCTGCTGTGCCCGCCCGTCATTCCTACACGTTGCGCGAGACTAGGACGTTCAGTACTTGGCCAGCACCTCGTTGACCTTCATAACACGGTAGTCCACTCCCTGCAGAGAAACCTCTGACCCCGCGAAGGGCCTGAACTTGACGAAGTCCCCAGTCGCCACCGACATGGGGACGATCTCTCCGTCCGAGGAGCTTCGCCCGGGCCCCGTAGCAACGACCTTGTCCGTTCCATCGAGGAGGGGGGGGGGGGGGGGGGGGGGG